CTCCTTGGTCATTGTCCAACTCTCTGATGCATAACAAATGATTGCAAAGAGCTACTTTGAGAAAAAGAAAAAACCTAACTAAATGGAAAAACATTCCCTGTTCATAGATAAGAAGACTCAACATAGTGAAAATGACAGTCCTACTAAAAGTTTGTACTCAACTTGATGGTACCTAACAACAACAACAACAATCAAAAGTAATCTATATGCTCAATATAACCCCAATACAGATAGATGCCAAACTCATTATTCAAAGATAGAAAAGACAATTGACAAATTTGTTTGGAATGGAAGGTAACTACAAATAAGCAAAGCTCATCCAAAAACTAAAACTGAAGTGGGAGACGTAACACTCCCTGATCTAAAAACCTACAACACAGCCATAGTAACCAAAACAGCATGATACTGGTACAATGGCAGACACACAGACTAAAGGAATAGAATTTATAACTCAGAAATTAGCCCATATACCTATGGTCAGTTGGTATTTGACAAGGAATCAAAACCTATTAAATGGGGAAATGACTACCCCTTCAACAAATGGTGCTGGAATAACTGAACATCTACCTGCAGGAAAAAGAATCCACATCTTACACCACACACAAAAAATCAGCTCAAGGTGGATCAGAGAACTAGGGGTAAAAGCCAAAACCATAAAAAAATAAGAGATAACAAAATAGGATCAAGTTTAGAAGCCCTAGCCTATAGCCAAAAATTCACAACCAGGAGAGGATAAAAATCAATTAATGAGACCTTTTTAAAATTAAGTTTTCCTTATAAAGACTTTTTTTTTCTCTCTGTTGTTCTGTGTACATAAAACAAACAAACTTTTCCCAATAGAGTGAAAAGAAAAACCTACAGACGACAAAAAAAATTAGCAATGACATCTCAGACAAGGGTCTCATAATTAAAATTTACATAATACTAAATGGCCTCCACAAGAAAAAGACTGATAGATAACCTGATAACAAAATGGGCAAGAGACTTGAAAAGACTTTTCACAAAGGCATTCAGATAGCAAACAGACACATGAAGAAATGCTCAAAGTCACTGACAATCAAAGAGATGCAAATAAAAACAATGACATAGCATCTCATCCCAGTTGTTGTTGTTGTTAGTTGCCATCGAGTCAAGTACAACACATAGTGAACCTACGAACAACAGATCCGAACCCAGTCTTATCCTGTGCCATCCTCACAATCTCTGATACACTTGAGCCTATTGTGTAGCCACTGTGTCAATCCATCAGATTGAGGATATTCCTTTCCTACTTTGTCCTTCCACCTTTCCAAGCATGATCTCCTTCTTCAAAGAATAACCTCTCCTAACAATATGTCCAAAGTATGTGAGATGAACTTCACTGTCCTTGTCTCCAAGGAGTGCTTTGGCTGCATCTTCTCCAAGACATATCTATGTTCATTTGGCAGTCTGGGTTATTCACTACTCTTCTTCAACACTTCCGTAGTTTATTAGGAAAGCAAGTAATAAATGTTGGAGAGGACGTGGAGAGATCAGAACACTCATACACTGCTGGTGGAATTGTAAAATGGTACAACCACTTTGGAAGACAATTTGGTATTTCCTCAAAAAGCTGAGCATTAGTACATTCATACAATGGAATACTATGCAGCACATAGGAGCAATCATTTTGCAAATTGCTACCTAACTTGAGAGGGACTGGAGAGCATTATGCTGAATGAACTAATTCAGTCCCACAAGGACAAATACTGTATAAAACCATTATTGTAGAATGAGTATGAGGATCCAAGGTCGGGGAGGAGGG